AGAGAGAGAGAGAGAGAGAGAGAGAGAGAGAGAGAGAGAGAGAGAGAGAGAGCAAACAAATAGCTCCTTATAATTTATTAGAAAACCCCTGCGGGTTACCCGAGAGGCCCCTGCAAGGGCCTTCTCACCATGAACTTAGTAATGCTCATAGCCATGCTAGGGTCATGGCACGCCACGTATATATGCTGTGGATTCACATTAAGATCCGTGTTTCAACAGTTATGGGAACACTGAGCACACGAGTTTCTGGGCAGTAGCAGGCCAACTCACCACGTGCTTTTCAGGGCTTCCCTCCACTACTCACCAAATGTGCAAGACTACAATGAATCTCCTGCTAGAACATGGAACCATACGCCGCCATATGTTTTATCTTTTGTGCAAGTAGTGAAGAGTGGAGCGAGGCCCTTAGGGCCACTGCTCGTAGGAAAAGGAAACAAAAGAAAGAGTTGGAATGAATCTTCTGCTAGAACATGGAACCATACGCACCATATGTTTTGTATTTTGTGCAAGTAGCGAAGAGTGGAGCAAGGCCCTTAGGGCTGCTGCTCGTAGGAAAACGAAACAAAAAAAAAGAGAAAGTTATGGTAGCAAGTAGTTGTAACTTGTGACCCATAACTGCTGGAAAGCAGACCTGACTTCGGATTCAGAACATATATTGCTGGCCTGCTCAACTCTCACACAAAATTTCTCGAACGTCTCTTGAGATATTGGACCCTTGCAGATGCACTGCTGGGGTCCTTCGGGAAAAAGACTATTCAATGAGGAATACGTGGGCCCAATTTTTTTTCCCCTGTACTCCTCTGCCGTCCTCCTCTTTTCTTGTCTTCCACTTCCCCATTAATGCGTGTCATCTTGGCACAGGGGCCATGCTAATCTTGCCCTTGGGACATTCATTAACATTGGAAGGAGAAGATTAGCATGGCCCCTGCACATGGATGACACGCTTTAAATGAGTAGTAGGAGGAGTAGAGGCGTTTTTTTTTTTCTTTTCCCCGAACAATATAGGGGATCCGGAAATTCCGAAATATTCCGGTTTTCCGGAGGTCTGGATGGGCCCGGGAGGTCCAGGGTCCGGGGTCCGGGGTCCGGGGTCCGGGGTCCGGTCCGGCGTAGCTATGGAAATTTTCAGATATTTGTTGCGAGAAAGAATTTTTTTTTGCAGAGATTTGACGAAGTCCTACTTGATTTACTAATAATCAATCAATCTGCGAGGCCACGACCTCTATGAGCCCCATTCGGCCCCTTTTTGGAGCAAGTCGGCCGCCCTAAGTGAAGGCAGGCTCGACGAGGCCCTCAGGCCCCTATTTTGACCACTGCGCAACTAAGGAAATTCAGGCAGTTGCGCAGCGCCAGTTGGTTGAGAGAACCCAGGCCCTAGGCCGCCTGTGTGAATGTATGGACAGCAAGCCCTGGGCTTGATACGGGTACTGGGCCAAACACAGGCCAAAGGCAGTTGGGTGCATGCAACCACCTCAGGCCCGAGGCCTGTTCTGTATCGTGCTGGGCCTCAGGCTACCGGGGCCTACTGGAAGCTTCCTGGGACTGAACGCAGGCAGGCCACTTCGATATAGCAAAGGGCCTGCCTCCAGATCCGACATTCGGGTGCTGGCTGCATGCAGCGCAAGCGCTGCTGCGCTGAAGCTCGCTGGCACTCACGCGCTCACCGGCGAGCAGGAAGGAGCAGGCAGCCATAGTCGAGCTGCGCTGCTGTAAGCTGGGTGTGGCGCAGGGTGGTCCTTGGGTGCAAGTGGCATCTGTGTGTTGGGGAACGAGGTTGTGAGTGAGGCGAGAGACATACCTGGTGCTGGAAGCGTGCGACAATGGTNGGTCCTTGGGTGCAAGTGGCATCTGTGTGTTGGGGAACGAGGTTGTGAGTGAGGCGAGAGACATACCTGGTGCTGGAAGCGTGCGACAATGGTCGTTATATGCTCGTACTTCGGGAAAGCTGTTGACGTCATCTTCGGCATTGTAGGCTAGATAGGATCTGCCATTTGTAGTTTGGGTGTCGAGCGCCAGATAGGATGTCAACATTGGTTCTTCATTGATGATGATGATGAGACTTTACCAGCATTGTCAATTATGAGCTCTTGGTGTGTTCTTATTTGGTGAAACTCGTGATGCAATTCTGTTGTTGGTTCGAGGTCACGACTATCTGGTCTTGTGTATATGATGCTGTTTGATTGCTGAAGTTCGCTATTGTTCATCTTCCTTGCAATTTGGTATCAAAGTTGTGGTACGATTGCGCTCATATGACGCTTGTCTTCTGCCTAATGTGGTACATACACGCAGTCTGCTTGGTGAGTTGGGCCGTAAGTGGTGTGTAGTGAGGAGGGCGGAGACGAGTGAGTGGCGACCCAGGAGGTGAGGGGATCGCTAGGAAGGCTACGTGGTGTAATGTGGGTTTGGATAGTGTGATGAGAACTATATAATGTGCGATTGGTGCTGAGGTGGAACGGCGTGCAATGCTGGTTGTGCCTAAGCAATGACTGGTCATCACAATCGACATCAGGTCATCTGGTGAGATTATCTTTGTGGTTGGGGCCAGCTATTTGAGGTACGTTGCTCTTAACCTTATCTACCCTCTTCGACACTTCTTACCGTAAGGTTGTGTGTTCCTTCTTGAGAGTCCTCTCATTGTGAGGTGTCGAGTGCGCTCAACCTTGAGAGTCGGCAATGTTCACGTGGAGCATCTGGGAGAAGATGGGCGGAGCTTTCTGAAGGGCTCTGGACGAAGCACTGGGTCACGGTCACCATGCCAACCCACCGGGAGTAGAGCACGCATGCTTTGCTGCTTGTCCTTCGTTTGGCTTGCTGCGCTGTTAGATGGGTGCTGAAGGGCAGGCCAGCCCTAAGTGGGAGACAAGACCGGACGTCTTTAAATAAGTACCGGAAGGGGAAACCGTTGGTTGTGATCGTCGTCCGACTGCGACGTAAAATAATTCCTGGAGACACTTGGGGGCGGTCGTTAAACTGCCTCTGGATCAGCCAATGGTTGTAAGGCTCGCTGCACGCGAGGATGATCCAGTGCAGGGCTGGCCAGTTCAGCAGATACTCGGGGCACAGGGGTGGGCCGGACACACACCTTTTAGACATGCAACACTCTTCGGATTGCTCAGGGACGCTGACGTCAAGAGACATTCAGGGAAACTTAAGGGAGGGGTAGATTTCAGGTGATAAGTTTGACAAAACATTCCATACTGTCCTATCCACACGAATGATTCTATTTTTAAGTTTTGATTAGTTAGGTGTACAACCATTTGACATCTGACAGACAACATAATTAGAACTGTAACTGTTCATTGTGCATTCTGTTCGCGGACTAATCAGGCTAAAAATATTTTCGTTTGTCGGAATTTGAACTCACCTGTTGATCCTAAATGTATCTACTCCGAAATAGCCACCAATTAATTATTTTATTTTAAATTGGTATGTGCACTACACCGCGGTAGGCACCCAGAGTGCATTAGTGCAGATTGTGTACAGTGCTGTAGCTTATGAGCGACGAGGAGGACACTAGAGAGGACGACCGGATCTTGCGATCGACAAGGCGCCCAGTTGCCCATTTGGCATTAGGTCCAGAGGGTGACAAATATTTGTTCCGGGAGAGGCAGCAGCAGCAGAGGAGAGCCAGGGCTGAAGAGGCAAGCAGGGCATTCGTAAGTGAAGCCGCAGCCTCAGCAGCCATGGCCACTTCTGCGCAGCAGAGCTCCCAGGCTAGTAGTTCAGGATCTGTAGGGTCAACGGTCACGCAGACCCTGAGTCAGTCCACCGGCGTAATGGCAAGCCAGCCGATCGTGTTGACCTCCGACGAGATCGCCATACAACAAGCAGCATTGCAGGAGGCATAGCTACAGAAGGCATTAGGAGAGATAAAAGCGGAGAAAGAAAGAATTATTAGAAGAAGAGCCAGGATGCAGCGGAGACAAGCGGACATTAGTAAGCTAGAGGAGATGGACCTGGCGCACGTGACTGATGATGTGAGGACCATACGGTCCGTCCTGCTAAATGTAGTTGAAATGCAGGACCATCAGACAACCAGCCTTCAGGACATTCAACAAAGTCTGGCCCTGTTGGCTGGGCGAGCGCAGGCAGCGCCGTCAATGTCATGGCCTGGTGCCTGGCCCGTTGTACAGCCTCCTCCTTTTGTCCCACAGGTGACTGGGGTATCCCCATATGTAGCCCCATCATCGCTCGCGATAGTTTCCCTGGGCATGCCGCTATCAGGAGAGTTAACAGCACGATCTAGTTTGCAGGTTCCTGTACAGACAGTGTTTATCCAATCTCCGTTGCAGGTTGTTGTTACTACGCAACCTGCTGTCTCGCAGCCTGTACAGCCGCATGGTACACAACCCCAACAGCTAGCACAGCAGTCTGTGTCACAGGGTCCACAGCCCGGAGTGGTGCAGGGACCGGGACAAACACAGTGGGTACCAAAGACGGCCATCGCCGCTCCTAAACCCTTCACAGGGGATAAGAGAGGCGAAGACCTCGACACTCGGTTGAGGGCAGTGCCGGTCTATGTCAAGTGTACACTTACCTTGCCGCACGAGGAAGTGCTTGTGGCTGCATCTTACCTAGAGGGTTGTGCAGCAAGATGGTTGAGTGGTTTGGTACAGCTCCAGGGATACGGTCATGACTTTCGCGCTTGGGCGGTCACCCAACAATTGGATGACTTCCTTAAGTTGGTGGAAGAAAGGTGGTATGATCCTTGGGAGGCCCAAAAGGCCACTGACGCGATCTTGACACTGCACACGAGGCAGCAGCGTCTGATTTGTGTCCCTGGGGAGCGATATGACCCCCAGGTTTTACTCACCTCCTACCTGAGATGCTTTCCTATGCCTCTCAGGAATCAGTTAGCAGGTGAGGCCAACATCAATGTTCACAACTTCCCCTCGTTCAGTAAGAAGGCCCTAGACCTTGAGGCGAAGATAGGGCATGGACATAATCCCACATCGTACGGTAGGAAGAAAACACTGCCTCCCACTTAGAAGGCGAAGGGCCGCATTATGTTCGTCGATAACGATGGTTCAACCATCGAGTTAGACGACAACTTCCAGGAGGGAGTAGGTTCAGAGGTTGGCAGCACAGAAGCTTCAGAGGGTGAAGTAGTCGCTGTCGTAGCTCAAAAAGGTAAGGTGACCGGTAGATGCCGCGGAGGCTCCCGGTCAAGGAGTCAAGTTGACCCCAATGCTCCCCCATGGGAGAAGGCGGGTCTCACAGAGGACGTGTGGAGAGATCGGTATGCACGGCAGACCTGTATTCGTTGTGGTCAATATGGCCATAACCGATTCAAGTGCCGCAACAAGAAGGTGACCGATAAGATCCCGCCTACGATGGGGCAGGCGTTGGGGTCCTCCCGCCCTGTTGGTAACAATGTAGCTAGTACGTCTAGCACTGCTCCGGGAAACACGTCGGGCCAGTAGGAAAAGTAGCTGTTCCTGCTAGGGTCGAGGTGGTGGATACACCCTCACCATCTTGAGAGATGGCCCAAGCTACTGACTCCAGCGTCGTCCCCAGAGGAGCTAAATGAGGAGTGGTCTAGATCAGACCTGCTAGCTTTTTGGAAGGCCCTAGTCAAAGCCCCGAAGGGTGAGATGTTCGTCAGCAAGGTGGCCATTGGCGAACGCAAGACCGGGGCCTATTATGACACTTGCTCGACTAGGAACTTTATCAGTCGCGGGTGCGTTGAGAGGCCGCGCTTACAGGGGCAAATGCAGCGCCTGAGTCGACCTGTGGAGTCGACCTGTGCCAACAAACAGCGCATGGTAGTCAACGACCACCTCCAAGATGTTGAGTGTTGTTTCCCGTACGCGGGAGGGGAATTGAGACATCGCGTCTCGTTCCTAGTGAGTGACAAACTCCCCACGGATATGTTGTTAGGTATGTACTACCTCTCTGCGGCACAACCCCAGTTTGACCGGGACCGAAAAGTGGTCAAACAAACTTTGCCAGGTGGAGGGACCGCCAGATTGCACAAGTTCAAAGCTAGTAGTCTGATCGAGTCCCATGGATGCAGGTGTGTGACCGCGTTCTATAACTATTATAAGCAAAATCAGGAGGAGGGTATGTACCTAGTTTATGTCTCTGTTGCAGGCGAGCCGGTGAAAATGCCGCCGGAGATAGAGGGAGTGGTTGCCAAGTACCCTGATCTATTTGATGAGCCGACAGGGGTTGTAGAGAGGGAGGTTGTCCACGCGATAGAGATTATCCCATGGTCTAGCATCCCGAAGGGTAGGATCTATCGGATGTCTTCAGGCGGGCTCGATGAGCTTTGCCGACAACTTAAGGAACTCGTAAGGAAGGGTTGGATCCGACCGAGTGTCTCTCCTTATGGGTCTCCAGTACTATTCGTGCCTAAGAAAAACGAAGGGACACTTAGGATGTGCATTGACTATAGGGTCCTCAATGCCATCACTGTCAAGAACAGAGAGCCCACGCATCGATGATTTGTTAGATAGAGTGCAAGGGTGTTGGTACTTCAGTAAGATAGATCTGAAGTCCGGGTACCATCAAATTGCAATCCGGCCTGAGGATCAGCACAAAACCACTTTTCAGACCAGGTACGGGCTGTACGAGTTTGTGGTGATGCCTTTTGGCCTTTGCAATGCTCCTGGCACCTTTCAGCACGCTATGAATCAGATATTTCATGACAACTTGGATAAGTTTGTCATCGTGTACCTCGATGACATACTTACTTTTAGTAAGACTATCGAGGAGCACGTTGCCCACCTGGACAAAGTCCTTAGTCTCCTGCGACAACACAAGTTCAAGATCAACGGTGAGAAGTGCGAGTTTGGCTGCACCCATGTCTTGTACTTGGGTCATGAGATCTCCGCGGAAGGGTTGAAGCCCGATGACGCGAAGGTGGCCAGCATTCGTGATTGGCCACGTCCTCAGTCTGTGACTAAGATGACGAGCTACTATAGCCTCTAGGACTTTCGTTAAGAACTATAGCATAGTGGCGCTCCTTTGACTGATCTGACCCGCCTTGACACCCCATGGGAGTGGACAGACAAGTGCGAGGCTGCATTCAGACATCTAAAGCATGCGTTGACGCACTACGAGGTCTTAAAACTTCCCGATCCTGATAAGCCGTTTATAGTCACCACGGATGCCAGCCAATATGGCATTGGCGCCGTGCTTGCGCAGCAAGAGAGGCCAAAGTTGAGGCCTGTTGAGTACATGTCCAAGAAAATGCCGTCTCAGAAGTTGGCTAAGTCCACCTATGAGAAGGAACTCTATGCGGTTTACAAGGCTCTGACCCATTGGAGGCACTATCTCCTTGGGAGGTTCTTCATCCTCAAGACTGATCATCAGACCCTGAGATGGATGAGAACTCAGCCGGTACTCTCTGACGCTCTCAAAAGTTGGATCGAAGTCATTGAGCAGTATGACTTTGACCCGCAGTATCTGAAAGGGGAGTACAACAAGGTTGTTGATGCCTTGTCGCATAGACCTGATTTCTCAAGTGCGCTGATTACTAAGTTCGATCTTGCGGACAATGTTACTCAGTCCTTGGTGGAAGCCTATCGTGAGGATCCGTTTATGTCTGAGATCATTCGCAGACTCGAGGCGAAGGACAAAGTGACTTCTATCGAGTTTGAGTTGGTCAAGGGCTTGCTATTCCTTGAGAAGGCTGGGAATAAACATTTGTGTGTTCCTAATAGGGAGTCTTTGCGTAGTTTACTTTTAGGCGAGTGTCATGATGCCACCAGCCATTTTGGGTACAAGAAGACCGCAGCTAACCTGCTGCAGCGGTTCTGGTGGCCCACAATGATGAGAGATGCCCAACTGTACGTGGAGACTTGTCAGGTCTGTCAGAGAGACGAGCCACGTACTCAGGCTCCTCTTGGGCTCCTGAAGCCCCTTCTGATTCCAGAAAGGCCTGGTGAGAGTTTGTCCATGGACTTCATGGATATGCTGGTTACCAGCAAGAGTGGGATGAGACACATTTTCGTCATTGTGGATAGATTTAGTAAGTATGCTAGATTAATAGCCATGCCGGAGACTGCGAAGACCGAGTACGTAATAAGATTGTTCAAGGAGAACTGGGTCAGGGATTTTGGATTGCCCAAATCCATAGTGGGCGACAGAGATGTCCGCTTCACTAGCGAATTGTGGAAGGCCGCCGCTGCAGAGCAGGGAACCCAACCGCAGATGACTTCTGGAAATCACCCAAAGGCCAACGATCAGGCCGAGCAACTGAATCGCGTTGTACAACACCTGTTGAGGCATGACATCAAGCCCAACCAGGTGGACTGGGATGAGAAGCTTGCTCTCATCGCCAGTCTGTACAACAACGCTGTACATAGCGCCACCGGGGTGAGCCCAAACAGTTTGCTATTGACTTTCAAGCCTAGACTACCCTTAGACTTTCTCCTTCCTGAGAATCAGTCAACTGCTGCAGCAGGTACTTTAGAGTTTGCCTACAGGTATGAACAGAAGATGCAGCAGGCGGTCGAACAAATGCAGAAGGCACATGCAGCAATGATAGAGTCTGAGAATAGACACTGCCGACCTTCTACGTTTCAGGTTGGGAACAGAGTCTGGGTAAAGTCCTCAGAACTGGGAGAGGAGTACGGGATTTCCCGCAAACTCATGCCACAGTACTTTGGGCCATGGGAAGTCTTAGATATTGTCGGGATTGATCCAGATGGGCCATCTTATGTAATCCGGATACCTGGTCATCTCCGTACTTACCCTGTCTTTCACGCCTCCAAGCTTGCACCTTTCAAACAAACAGATCAGTTTCCATCTTGTCGTTCAATGCTGCCCCCAACCATGGATGGAGAGGTGGATATCGATGATATCGTGGACCACAGAGAGCTGCAAGTTCCAAGACCAACAGGCAGGGGACGTCCTCCGAAACCGAAGCTGCAATATCGCGTTCGGTTCCGACATCATACTGGTCCTAAGGTTCACCAGGGAAGAACTTATGTAGACCGCTCCTTAAGTTGTGGCTCATTACGAGAAATTTCTGCAGAAACGAAAGCGCCCGATGGTCGAAGACTGAGCTTCTCAGAGGACTGTTGAAGCTAAGGCGGAGGGAATGCGAGGCCACTGCCTCTATGAGCCCCATTCGGCCCCTTTTTGGAGCAAGTCGGCCGCCCTAAGTGAAGGCAGGCTCGACGAGGCCCACGGGGCCCTATTTTGACCACTGCGCAACTAAGGAAATTCAGGCAGTTGCGCAGCGCCATTTGGTTGAGAGAACCCAAGCCCTGGGCCGCCTGTGTGAATGTATGGACAGCAGGCCTTGGGCTTGATACGGGTACTGGGCCAAACACAGCCCAAAGGCAGTTGGGTACATGCAACCACCTCAGGCCCGAGGCCTGTTCTGTATCGTGCTAGGCCTCAGGCTACCGGGGCCTACTGGAAGCTTCCTGGGACTGAACGCAGGCAGGCCACTTCGATATAGCAAAGGGTCTGCCTCCAGATCCGACATTCGGGTGCTGGCTGCATGCTGCGCAAGCGTTGTTGTGCTGAAACTCGCTGGCACTCATGCGCTCACGGGCGAGCAGGAAGGAGCAGGCAGCCATAGCCGAGCTGTGCTGCTGTAAGTTGGGTGTGGCGCAATGTGGTCCTTGGGTGCAAGTGGCATCTGTGTGTTGGGGAACGAGGTTGTGAGTGAGGCGAGAGACATACCTGGTGCTGGAAGCGTGCGACAATGGTNGGTCCTTGGGTGCAAGTGGCATCTGTGTGTTGGGGAACGAGGTTGTGAGTGAGGCGAGAGACATACCTGGTGCTGGAAGCGTGCGACAATGGTCGCTGTATGCTCGTACTTCGGGAAAGTTGTCGACGTCATCTCCGGCATTGTAGTCTAGGCTAGATAGGATCTGCCATTTGTAGTCTGGGCGCCGAGCGCCAGATAGGATATCAACATTGGTTCTTCATTGATGATAATGATGAGACTTTACCAGCATTGTCAATTATGAGCTCTTGGTGTGTTCATTTTTGGTGAAACTCGTGATGCAATTCTGTTGTTGGTTCGAGGTCACGACTATCTGGTCTTGCGTATATGATGCTGTTTGATTGCTGAAGTTCGCTATTGCTCATCTTCCTTGCAAATCAATCAATCAATCAATCAATCAGTCAATCAATCCATCAATCAATCAATCAACAATCAATAGATCAAGCAAGCTGGCTACTTGATTGGGTGGATCCTCTGATTGAGAGGTCCGCTCCGATACCAAACTGTCACATACCGTAAAGGTGCAGACCAGAACAAGAAGCGACCTCTCTCACATAGTACAAGATAACGCAGCGGAAGGCTAATATACCAATGATCCGAACCATCAACGTTGCCATGCAGACCAAACGTACATCATCATCATTCCTTGGTGTGAAGGGGCCTGGCGCTCACACAGGAAGAATGTGCCAGCCCCCAACCATACACAGACGAAGAAGAGGGGGGTTTAGACGAAGAGGAGGGGAAGATGGGGATGTCGTCAACACCAAGCCTTCGATACAGGTCCCAAATAATCCCTCGTCAAATGTTTGAATCCCAATGTCAAGTCTGGATCCAAAAGTCGTCAAGTCCCAAAGTCACCAATCTCTCTCTCTCTCGTAGTTTGCAGATACTGAGAAGTCAGGTAGCGAGAGGGGGAGGAGGAGATGGTGGACTTAGAAGAGGAAGAAGAAGAACTCTCTCTCTCTCTCTCAGTCTGGTACTAACCTGTGAAGGTGGCGCCTTGTTGCAAGTACATCCAAGACGAAGCTGGAGCTATAGCATCACAGGTAAGTCTCCCTGGCCTCCGCCAACCATCTCTCTCTCTCTACTACTACTCTAGCTCCTGATAGCGCCCAGCGCCGAAGACTACTGCTAACGCTACTACTACAACTGCAGCGCTCCTCCAGAGTGCTGCTGCCGAATCCTGAAGACTGCCTCCTGCCTCCTGCACGTGAAGTGCCTGGGAAGTTCCTATGAACTACCTCGTGCCTGTCTGCAGCCTGTAGGGCGGGCCAGTCCTATATAGTGCTGGCCCGTCCAGGAGGCTGCTCTTGCCAATGCCAAAATGTGCCAGACCCTGGCGTTGAAGTTCAAACAAGGGTTGTCTTGAAAACAGGCCAAAAATGGCCTGTGCTCAAACCCTGGTCTGGTGCCTAAGTTTCAGGGCAGGTCGATCTTATGAGGGTCTGAAAATGGCCCTCCGTTTCAGGCTGAAAAGACTCAGGGCTTGGAGGGCCCTGTTTTAGGCTGAAACGACATAGGGCCTATAGGCCCTCGTTTTCAGGCTTTCAGGCTGAAAACGACACAAGGCCTGTAGGCCCTTGTTTTCAAGCTTTTAGGCTGAGAACGACACTTCAGGCTTTTAGGCTGAAAACGCTGGTCGGGCCCTGCAGGCCTGTGTGGCTGCGCATTATGCCACACTTGACCAGGGCATCTGTCCCTGAGATCCGAACTTGGGGTCTGAATCGTGGAAGGCCTTTCACTCTCGCCGGCCTAAATTCGAGATCCTCCGAAAAAATTATGAATTTTATCTACCTACTATGTTAATTCCTCTCTTAGTTCTTTCATAATAGGACACAATATGTGGTGTCGTTTCTATTAGTTCATCTCTTGTAAACCACCGATCTTCTTCGGGTTCCTGATAGGCAAATCTAACCTTATACTATCGCTGTGGTCTACCCCTGCGTCCAGATCTGTAAACATCTTCCCCAACAATCCTATCCACATCATATTTACCATCCATATCCAGGGGAATCATAGATCTGCGTGACGGAAACATGCCATTACTAACGCAAGGCAATAACTTCGAGCGTGGAACACCAGATACGTGTGGAAATGTGGAGGAATCTCAACAACATAAGAAGGACCATCTACATCACCAATCACATTAAGAATCCGCCAGGGTCCTCGATATGCACGTAACAACTTCTGAGAAATGTTTTCCTCAGGAAGAAACTCTTTTGACTTCACTCATACTAGATCACCTACAACAAATTGTGAGGGTCTGCGGTGCTTATTAGCCTGTTCTATCATCTGATGTTGTGCCTTACTAATGTTCTCTTTAACTTTTTCTAGGTCTTTCTGATATTGAACAACAAATTCCGTGGTTCTTGGTGGAAGTCTCTGTACTTGATCAAGGTTTAGACAGTCAACGGGTCTACGTGAGCGCCATCCGAGATGTAGTTCAGTCGGTGTTGTAGATGTAGCTAAATGCACGGAGTTATTATAGGCACTTGCAACCTTTGGCAGATGTTCATCCCAGTCAATCTGATCTGGCCGGATGTACATGCGCAGCACTTGCTGCAGCAACATGTTCATCTGCTCAGTTTGTCCATTTGTTTGAGGGTGTCTACCTGAAGACATAGTCAGTTTGGACCTGTATACCTTCATTAGTCGCTGCCACTGCTCACTTGTGAACCGCGAATGCCTATCACTTACAATAGTTAAGGGATGCCCAATATCTTTCGCCCAATGGTTAAAGAATTCCCTAATCACCAATTCGGTTCTTGCTTCTCCAAGAAGTGGAACAAACACAACAAACTTGCTAAACCGGTCTACTATAACCATAACCTGACTTTTTCCGTTTGTGCTCTTTATCTTAGTGCCCATAAAGTCTATAGACACGGAGTCCCCGGGTCCCGACGGAATAGGTAGCAGTCGGAGTGATCCAAGGGGAGGCTGTGTGAAACTTTTGTTCCTTTGACAAACTTGACAGCCTTGCACATAGGAGATACAATCATGCTTCATTCTTGGCCACGTGTAGGAGTGTAGGAGGTTAGCATAAGTCTTCCTCCATCTATATCATGGTTTTCCCCAAGTATTATGCTACGAAGTTCTGCGCTTATCGGAACACATAGTCGGTCATGGACATCTATTTTTTTAAACAGCAGTCCCTGTGTTACTCTATAGTCCGGGACTTCGTGAGGTGTCGTCTGCACCTTACCAATCAACTGGCTATAGACTAGATCACTTGTGTAGGCAAACTTGATCTTTTCCTGCAGTTCAGTGCTTGCATCTAAGCATGTGACAATGACACCGAAAAAGTCAGCCCTTCGACTCAATGCGTCAGCGGCAACATTGTACTTACCCTTTTCAAAGTCGAACTGATCAATCTCCCCAACCCACCTAGTCAATTTAGGTATCATCCGAGCCTGGGTTTTTAGCCAGCGAAGTGTCTCATTATCCAAGTAAACTTTACAGTGGCGTCCTAGCAGATAATGTCGCCAATGATTCAATGATTCCCTCAGAGCGAACAACTCCCTCTCATAGGTAGAAGCGACGACCTTTTCACTAGGCAGTCTACAGATCAACTCCCTCTCATAGGTAGAATGTGAACAACTCTACAGGCCTGTACCCATTCCCATCGTCTTGTTGGAGTACAACACCAATCCCGTATTGACTGGCGTCAGTGGTTACGATAACAGGCAGAGATGGGTCTGCAACTTTCAACACCGGATAATTAATCAAACACTTCTTTAAACGCTTGAAGGACGCGGTACAATCCTGATCCCATTTCCAGATAGTTTCTTTCTTTAGCAATCTGCGCAATGGGGCAGCGATTACCGTAAAGTTCCGAACGAACTTGCGGTAATAGTTGGCCAGACCAAAAAACGAGCGCAGTTCCGTCAACGTGCGCGGGTTGGGCCAATCTCTAATGGTTGCAATCTTAGTGTCTTCTGGTTTAATCCCATCACCACCTACCATATATCCTAAGTAAAGGACCTGACGCTTTGCCCACTCACACTTCTTCGGGTTAATCTTAAACTTCGCCTCCTGCAATTTATTAAGCACAATTCGAAGGTGCTCCTCGTGCTCTTCCAGACTCTTGCTAAAAATCAGTATATCATCTAAATAAACAACAACAAATTTCTCAAGCCAATCACGAAACAACTCATTCATACATCTCAAGAAGGTTGCATAGGCATTAGTCAAGCCAAACATCATTACCACAAAATCATAGTGGCCATATCTCGTTCGGAAAGCCGTTTTGTGTTGATCCTCGGGCAATACCTCAATCTGATGGTATCTCGACTTCATATCAATCTTATACGTGGTAACGGTTCCACACTCTTAACGGTTATCGCATTAAGTCCCCTATAGTCTATGCACATTTGCAGTTCACCGCCTTTCTATGA